TTGGTTTCCCCTTAAACTTTCCTTGAGTCACGGCCAGAGCCTCTCCAGGAGCTGCCGGTTCAGCCTTCCGCTTCTGTTTCCGACTGGTGTTTCCTTTTTCCGACTGACTCGGCTTGTGCTTGCCGCTTCGGAGTCGGTCTTCTTCTTCGCCGTTGGCGTACTTGGTAGCAATCTCCATCATCCGACTCAAGGTCATGTCACCGGTTCGACCAAATTTCAAACTCAGTTCTCTGTTCTTGACGCCGTCTTTGAAGGCGCATACTGCCTGATGATCAGAGACATTTTCCACAGTGTGGTGCAAAGTGATCCACCTCTGAATATACTCTCTGAGAGTCTCATTAGTTTTCTGCACGCAGACTTGCAACTCTGTCAATCCCGCTGGTCGCTTGCAAGTCCCTTCAAACGTTCTGACGAACACTCGGGACAGATCTTCCCAAGAATAAATGCTGCTAGGAGGTAATTGAGTCAACCATGCCCTGGCAGAACCTTCCAACATGAGGGGCAAATGCTTCATGGCCACCTCGTCGTTCCCACCACCGATCTGAACTGCCACTCGGTAGTCTTCAAGCCAAGTTTCAGGCTTAGACTCACCAGTGAACTTGCTGACTCCTGTTGCCAACCTGAAATTGGGGGGGATAACTGCGGCTCTGATAGCTCTGCTGAAACATTCAGGACCAGAAACATGTACTCGACTGCTCGTGGGTACATCTCTGTCGAGTGCGCCTCGATGGGCTCTGTTCCGGTCGACCAACCCTTGCACGATAATGGATCGCGCGTCGAAGCCTGGCTCTCTGGGGTCAACTGGAACCCTACGCCCTGTTCTGTACTGACGCCTATCATCTGGCTGCCGAGGAGCGTAAGACCCACCCCTCGGAGGGGAATAGGGTACTCGACGCCTATCATCTCGGTCGAGTCTGTCGCCATATTGATCTCGCCGATTCTCACGCCCTTCGCGCCGCGGAGGCGATCTGGGGCTGTGAGCCGACTGAACCGTATTCACAGTGACAGATCGACTGTGAATTCTGTTGCGCGACTGAGACACGGCTGAATTCTTATCTCCTGCTGCCCGGAGCAGATCCCTGATCTGCAGCAAACCTCTGCCAGCTTCCGACTGCGAAGGCTGAATGGACTCTGCTATACGGGTCGCAGCTGCTAAATTCTGAATTGGGGTTCGATATACCTGAGTCGGCGGGAAGAGTTGACGTCGACTGGTGTCGGGAACTCGTTGCCGCGCGCGCTCGTCGAGTGCTCGCTGAAGGTTCTCCAGTCGAGTGCGCTCGGCCAAATTGGCCAGACGCGCCTCCTCCAAGGCACGAGCCTCGGGGGTTTCTCCTGCGATGGGAATACGCAGGGGATCCTCGTTCCTGCGGCGAAGCTCTTCTCTTTGCAGAGAGTCGAGTGGCTCGGGCTGGTACTCTTCGTAGTCTCGTGCAGGGTCGCCGCCGTCACCTGCTCCACCACCACGGGCGAAGCCAGGAGGGCTGTGGGGCCCGTCGACCATCAAGATTTCCGCGGCTGGATCACTGCTTCCGCACTCGGATGCAGTCTCTCCGGAGCCAGTCGACTGATCGAACAAGCCGTAGAGAGATTCGTTGGGCTCGATTGCCGCAACTTGTGTAGTGGCCGATTGGCGAGCCACCGCGTGACTCACCCATCGCTGAAGCCTCGACCGGCCTGAGCGCTTGCGCTGGCGGGAGACCGGGAGGGTGGACGATGGAGGAGCCGACCGATACTGGGTCGACGGTTGCCGCAGCAGAACGCCGCGGACACATGCGCGAAAATGCGTCGCACCGCGGACGGGGAGCGCGTCTACGTCGAGTGGAGCCTCCTGGAGCCATGCGGAGTCGTCGGCGATGAAGGTGAGAGTGCCGAGACGGATCTCTGGACCCTTGACCAAAACTCCAGCAGACACCATGATGAGAGTACTCGGAAGAATCGCAACTTCTCCACAAAATCGCTAAAACACCGGCCCCACGGTGGGCGCCAACTGTCGTGGTTCTAAGCCTGACAGTAGAGTGGGGGTAGGTATGGAGAGGCAAGGTCCTAGCTATGGAGAGGTTGTAAGCACAAAGGATGTACGAGTTCAGGCCCTTCTCGGAAGAAGTAACAGCCCTACGTCTCGGAGCCCGGAGGCGGTCGAGTGGATTATGAATGTATGAATTACAAGGTGCCGAACCCTTCTGCCTGTGGAGGAGGGTGGCTTATATAGAGTGCGCCAGGACCCTAGCCAGCCCACGCAGGAGAGGGTTTAAGGTGAGTTAAGTCTGGGGCGTTACTGGTAACGCCCCACATAAAGTGCCTTTACTATCATAAAGTCTACTTGATTACAGGCCGTTGCAGTGCAGAGTGCCTCTTGACCTCCTGGTGGTCGAGTGAGTCTTCGTGGTCGAGTCCTTCAGGCCAGTCGAGTGAATCCTCGTTGGTCGACTGGAAGGCGACCTCTTCTAAGGATGTCCTAGGGTAAGTTACTTGGATCAGGTCCATGATCCTACCCTAGGTACACAACCCCATCAACGCGAGCACGGAATTTTTCCACGCGGTAGCGAATGGTCGGCGATGCCGATGTACCATCAGGGTCCTGCGAGAGGGGGATCGGATCTTCTCCGAGAAGGGGGAGTTACAATCACACATTGATGCCTTCTATAGGAAGCTGCTAGGGTCTACCGCTGGGGGGGGGGGCTCGTCTAGGGCCAGATATGTGGGGAGAAGATAGGAGAGTCTCTGCCGAGGACAACCGGGAACTCACACAACCTTTCTCCTACCAGGAGGTGACTAATAACCTATGGGAAATGCAGGCCAACATGGCACCGGGACCAGATGGGTTTCTGGTGACATTCTATAAAAAATTATGGAACATAGTGGGACAACAGTTCTGTGGCCTAGTCCATGACTTCACACTAGGAAAAATCGACATTAAGAGGCTCAATTATGGGGTGCTGACACTATTGCCAAAGGCCCAGGGTGCGGACAACATCCGGCAATTTCGTCCAATAACGCTCATCAACGTGAGTTTCCACTTGATGGCAAAAGGTTTCGCAACTCGCCTGGCACCAGTGGCTAACAAAATAATCGACGATAGTCAAACAACCTTTATTCGGAGCCGGAGCATTCTCGATGGGGTGGCGGTCCCGCATGAGGTGCTTCGTGAGATTGAGGAATCCAAAGAGGAGGTGTTCATCCTCAAAATTGACTTTGAAAAGGCCTACGACCGGGTACAGTGGGATTTTCTCGAGGAGGTGCTTAAGGCCAAAGGTTTTGATCCCCTATGGGTAAGCTGGATGCGTCAGCTGGTGAGGGGAGGGCAAACGGCCGTGAAAAATAATGGGGAAGTGGGCTCATTCTTTAGAAACCAATGGGTGCGACAAGGAGTCCAATTTCGCCGCTTCTTTTTAACATCCTGGTGGATGCCCTAGCCACAATCCTGGACCATGCTAAGGGGGCAGGTCACATCTCTGGTGTGGCCTCTGTTATTATCCCGAGAGGCCTGTCACATCTACAATATGCAGATGACACCCTCATCTTCATAAGGAATTCGGAGTGGGAGACAACGAACTTAAAATTCTTGTTAATGTGCTTTGAGGAGATGTCGGGACTCAAGATAAACTTTGATAAAAGCGAGGCCAATGTCACGGGAGGTGATTTAGAATCACAGCTGAGAGCGGCACACATGATGAATTGTGAACTGGGGTCCATCCAAATGAAATACCTGGGAATGCCTATATCATCAAGGGCGCTATCTATGGGAGATTTCCAGCCTATAGTGGATACGACTGCGGCTAGGGTGGAGCCATGACAAGGAAAACTCCTTGCATCTGGCGGGAGACTAGTCATCATTAATGATTGCCTCACCAACATCCCTATGTTCATCATGGGTTTCTATCTGCTACATGACGGCACTCATGCAAAACTTGACAAGGTGCGATCCCGCTTCTTTTGGGCGAAGGAGGATGGGAAACAGAAATACAACATGATCAGGTGGGACAAGATATGCGAACCAAAGGAAGTGGGAGGCTTGGGGGTCATAAACACCAACGTTATGAACTGGTGCCTTATGACTAAATGGGCATGGAAGATTTTAACGGGGCAAGGGGGCCTGTGGCTTCAGATCCTCAGGAGGAAATACCTAGACCAGGGGGCATAAGCTTCAGAAGGAATGTAAAACTATCTCAATACGCGAGGGCAGTAAAGAAGGTCCAGCCTCCCCTTCAGCTAGGGACCCGTTTCGAGGTGCAGAACGGGAAGGCCACACGCTTCTGGTCGAACATTTGGTGCGAGGGTAGGCGACTTCAGGAGAGCTTCCCTGATTTATTTGCTATCGCCAAAAATCAGAACGAGTGGGTTTCAGACGTATGGCAACAAAATAGGTGGGCACCTAGGTTCCGCAGACCTCTAGGTGAGGTTGAGGTACTGCAATGGGAAGAAATGCGATCAAAGCTCCAAGGGATCCAGTTGAGTCAGGAGCAGGATGTGGTCAGCTGGCGCCTCGAGCCGTCAGGGCAATTCTCCATGGGACCGTTATATAAGGAGATTCTTAGATCCGCAGCCCCATGTGACTTAACGGGTATTTGGAAAGCTCGCCTACCGGCGAAAATTAAAATCTTCCTGTGGCAGGTGGCACAGAACATAATTACAAGTGGGGATAGGTTCAGAACCACCACGGCCCGGGTGACGGAAAGAGTGTATGGTGCAGAGAAAACGAGGACCGTGATCATATCCTTTTTAGATGCATTATGGCTCGATTTGTGTGGAGTGTGGTTTGAGAAGCCACAGGATCTAGGTGGAACCCTTGTGGATTCTCGGACCTGTACCGATTGATTGGCTTTACGAGAGGGAGAGACAAGCGCTTGGCTTGGATGGGTTTTGGGGCGATCATTTGGGCCTTGTGGACTACTAGAAACAAAGCTCTACTAGAGGGACAAATTATCCGACATCCGGCTGACCTTCTATATAAAATTGCGTCCTTCCTGCAGCTGTGGAAGTTATTTACAAGACCTCAGGACAGAGAAGGCGTGGAGGAGCTCGTAACAAGGATACAGGCAAAGTGCACTGATCTCCGACGAGCTTCATGGAGAGAGCATCCGTTGGGCGCCGCCCTCTACTACCCAGATAGGAGTCCGTATGTTGGCCGTACTTCGGCGCTGCGCCGCCCGTTTGCCTATGGCAATGTATCTTTATGTTCCTGTATTACGTACCTTTAAGACCTGAGATGTTGGTTCTGTAAGGGCCTCAGTTTAAGCCCGGGCAAGCACCTCTTACCTCAAAAAAACTTCCTGGTTCGTACGGTGCATTGCGTTGATTTTTTCTTCTTCTCTTTGTTAAGCGGATTAGTTTTAGACTCGTGGTAGCTGAAGATTGGAGTCATTTTTTTTTTTGAGGGATTGAAGATTGGAGTCGTTTTTTTTTTTGAGAAATGAATATTGGAGTCGTTGGACGACATAAAGTATGGATGGGCCGCTCTTTTTTTCAGTTGGAAGTTATGGGCTCATTTTTCTGCTGGAAGGAAAGCGACACTAAGCGCAATGAATTGGAAAGGTTTCATTGCAAAATGGCAGCCCATACATAGCCTAGTAAGATAGGACATGCGCCGAGCAAACCCTAGCTCTGGCGGCGATGGAGGCGGCGGGGACTCGATGTATTTGCGGAGAGTCGCCGAGCCCGAGGAGGCGCTCTGCGTGCTAGATCGCCGTTCCAAGGAGGGGAGAAAGAAGCCACCTCCAGGTGAGATGTTTAAACTAGTGCTAATTCGACTGCAGACTATCGTATTTGACTGATCATTGGCTTACTTCTGAATTGGCTGTTTTTGACACTTAACCAAGTGATTCGCGTGGTCCTAAGTAACGCACGTACGGTCTCTTGCTTACCTGTTTGGTTTAAGCTCGAGAAGCAGTTGCCCAAATCTGTCATAGTGAGCGTATTATACGACAATTCTTGTTGCTGTTGCTTGTGTCAACTTCCTTAGTGCTCGTTTGAGATATTTGATTATAGAATTGCATGGCTATAGGTTTACTTGTGCTGTCGATTGCATCAAATAAATTCATACACTGCCGGCAGCGGCAGAGGTAACAGCCTCAACGACGCGGCCATCCCTGCGCTACATCGTGCCATCCAACAGTTACAGTTGTGGCCGCTAACAACTAACAGTAAGCTCACTGACGGCACGGACCTGCTTATTCTGAACTGAAGAAATAGCTAACAGAAGACCACTGCAAGGGAAACAGACATAACGGAACAGACATAAAGTTCACCCCACACAGAGGTTTAGCACAGACTTGCCGCCGACAAGGCTAGCAAGAACTCGCACAAAGTTCTAAGAGGATATCTACTGCAAGGGAAATAAAATTGGGCTGTCAACAGCGCCAGATGGACAGCACACAAAATACACCAGCACCGAGGGCTGGGAATGAGTCTCGTAACAAATTCGCCCATGACATCTTCCCTGGCATCGAAGTCACTTGTCGTCGTCTCACTTCTTCTTCTTCAGCTTGTCATCTTTCTCGCCCTTTCCGCCGTCCGGGTTCTTCCTCTTGTCGATCCTTGCTTGCATCTCATGGCGTGCCGCATGGATGGTTGGTTGTGGTTGCCTCTTCACAGATGGCTTGTTGTTGTGCCCAATCGCTTCCTCTTTCCAAGCTTGCACTTTTGACTCGCTCATAGAGTGGTGGAGGATCACCTCCTTGAGATTCTCAAGATACGATACGCCTTCCACACCAAGCCTGGTTTCCAGCTGAATGAAACTACAGAAATGTCTTCCCAAACGAGGCTCTCGAATAACTGGATCTGGGCAAAGTAGGTCAAGTATGGTGAGAGACTTCATGGATCCTTGTTCGATTTGCACTTGTGGGAGCCTTGGGGCTTCGAAGCACAGTCGCCTCAGGCTTGGGAATCCACCACTCTTCAGAACGAAGCTGCTGCCCCGAAACCCATCCCCATCTTCTTCTGCTAGCTTGAGATATTCCAAGCAAGGTAAGTTTTGCAGTGCAGATAAGTCTTCAATGCTCAAACCAGTTGAGATAAGTAGTAGCCTATTTAGATCGGACAGCTCCGTTAAGGTAGGAGTAGCAGGTAATATGTCCAGCTGGCCCCGTAGTTTGATAGATGTAATTGCACAGGGAGCCTTTAGGAAACTTATCAACTCTTGAGACAAGTCACTTGAATCAATTGATAGAATCTGGAGAGCTGTGCTACCGGTGAAGCGCTCGTTAAGCGGCAAGGGCGAAATGCTACCTGGATTCATCTGTCTATTGCAGCTGTTGGAGGAATATGATGTTGCTTGATAGATCTTAACCTTCCTCAGTTTTCGGGCATGAAGTATAATGTTTTCAAAACTTTTGTCTGCCTCAGTAACCACGACTCCAGCAAGAGTCTGCAATTTGCTTTGCTTTGATATTTCTTCGGTGATTCCATGGGGTAGCTCAAAACGGCCAAACAGGTGAGCTAACAGTGGTAGCCTGATGACCTCAATGGCCACGACTTCCACCGATGTCTCTCGAATATCCAGTGTTTCCAAATGCACTAGGTGCTTTATTTTTTGGTGAAGATGGTCAACATCAGTGCCCCTCAGGCTGAGATACTTGAGAAGCCGCTGCTTGCATATGTCTTCAAGAACAGTATCATTGTTTACCCCTTTGCAACCTTCAAGATCTAGAACTCGCAGTAACTCGCAGGCTCGGAGGTCAAGAAGAGGGCTTCCGAAGATTGTTAGTGACCTAATAACAGATAAGTCAATACCCCTCGCAGTACACACAGCATCATCAACTCCTTCCTTGGTGCTATCCTGAACAGAGAGTCGGCGGACACGAACATTGGTGATAGTACCATTGTTGGACAGGAGCTCATCCTTGTCAACCAGAGCAACAAATTTCTTTGAGACGGCCTTGTGGATGATGAACTCGAGCATTATGCTGTGAACCCTGCACCTGGCTACCCTAGCATTTTTTATCTCTACTGGTTCAACGATACACCGCTCAATGAAGGCCTGTAAACAACTTCTGACACCTTCTTCATCACTGACAGTGCCATGTGCAGCAAACTCTTCACTCATCCATCTTCTAAGCAGAACTTTGCTGTTAATTGGGCGGCCTCTGGGGAACACGCTGGCATAAAGCAAGCAGCTCTGGTGGGCATAGTCTGGAAGGTTGTTGTAGCACTGGAGAAGCGCTCTATTGATTTTCAAGAACTCGGAATCCTGTCCTTTTAGTATCTTGTCTCCGAGCGTGCAGGCAGCACTTTTGCAGTGCTCTGTTGTGAGTCCTCCTGCCACTTGACTCTCGGTTCGTCCTCGTCGACGCAAATAATTGGCTACGCTGATAAGCGCCAGAGGTAAGCCTCCACATTTCGTGATGATGCCTTCTGAAGCCCGCTCTAGGGCAGGTGTCTGATTCTCTTTACCAACCGATTCCCAGAATACTTTTTCTGACTCATCTTTGTCCAAACATTGCATTGTATACACATGACTGCCCCAGCTGCATTCAGCCGCAACAGAGTGCATGCTTGTGGTCACAATTATTCTGCTGCCGTGGCCTTCTTTAGGGAATTCACGTTTTATAGCCTGCCACACTTCTAGACGGTCCACATCGTCAATAACAACAAAGTACCTGCTTCACCAAGCACAACGTAAACATTACTCTTAGGAACAACCATTTTCTTTATTAAATCAGGAAAAACCTGTACATGTATATATATATATATTTATGAAAATTATGAAAAGCATTTTCTTTATCATCCTTGGAAACATACCTGGAGGCACCATTACTTTCAGCATAAAGGGAACCAAAATTGGTACCTCTAGAATCTAGATAGTGCTAAATTAGTTTTAATATCTAGGTATCAAACCTGGTACCTTTCTAAGGACAATTAAAATCCTCATGTATGATATAGTCATGGTAGATTTAATCGGAAATTAAAACTTAACACAAATCACACATCCATTTGTGCATCATAGTATCATTTGCAGAAATAGATGTTTACTCAAAAACACCACCCCCCAACCCAGGAGAAACCATGCTTGCAGAAACGTATAATCATCGTCATACCAGCGGGAGAAAAAGACTAATCAGCTGACAGTCCTCATACTGCTGTTGCTTAATCACAAGTTCAAAACTTTGAATTGCACATGAAAATATTTTTTTCATATTTTATTTTAATTAAAGTAGCCAAATATATATCTTGCACAATTGCGTGGCCATACTTCAGTATATGTCATTTTACTACAAAATTTGGTTCTGAATAAAAGTGCAAACAGAGTTACCCAATTCTAATGTCTACTATTAAATATATTATTTAAATCTCACAAAATATTAATATATATGGTTATAATAAAATACTACGAAAAATATAAGCCATTCTCTTGTTTATAAAACTTTACTGATTCATGGGAGAGAATACACGATATAGTTTTTAAGCTGATTGTCGGAGAACAAGCACCGGCAATGGTGATCTGGATGGATCCCCTTGGAATTCGATCGGGGGCTAATCGTTCAAAAGCTACGTGAAGTCACAAACAGGAGGTAAGACGATGATTTTACCCAGGTTCGGGCCACCTTCTAGGTGTAATACCCTACATCCTGCTCTTTGTGTATGAATGATTGTATGGAAGATTACAACGAGAGACCGAATCTACTAGCAATTCAAAGATCGAGACCTTTTTTATGGCCCCAGTTCTCCTATTACAGACTCGGAGCACTACAATGGCCGTATGGTAAAAAGCGGGGTGGTACTGTTGCTCGCATGTCCTCCATGGGCGACCCATGTCGGTAGTTGGAGGATTGTCGTTGTAGCCGGAGATTTCCCGCTACGCTTTGGTGGGATTTGTCTCACCATGACGTATCCCAAGACTGCAAACCTAAGTCAAAAAAGTCTCTGGCCGCACCAATCCCTGTCAAAACTGATAGCCGACAAATCCTGTCAACTGGGGGATGGAACCTACCCAGGATTCTGGCATCATCATTTGTAGCAGACATGGAGTAGGTATGCCGAAAGACCCTCAGTAAATAGACTTGCCAGACTACGGACCCCGCGGAGATTGGGGAGCTGGCTCTGGTGTGGAGCTGGAGCCCCAAGAGCTTTGGGTATCCTTGGCCCTTTTATCCTTCATGTGCATAGGAACAACACTTGGCTCCCCGTGTGGGAGCCACGTTCCTTCGAGTGCTCAGAGGACAACCCCCTGGGTTGATGCGAGACTCCCCTTGTCAAGCTGGACAGCCATAGTGCTTAGGGCAGGTGCACGTGCACATGCCCTTGACTTGCCACGTCTTTGGTGATGCAGTGTCAAGTTCATCCCACGTCGGCAGTTTAAGGGGTCCTGTTCCCCGTATCGCTGAGGCCTTATCATCAGGTGAAGATCCTAAAGGGGATGAAACTAGGGATGAGGCCGACTTTTAATGGGCCAACGACGAAGCCGACTCACTCTGTGCGTGGTTCAAGGGAACAGCTTCGACTTCTGCATGTAGCGGGGGAACATGCTTTGAAGATGCAGGCCCACTATGCACGTGCTTTGAGGAAGCAACTCTGACTTCTGTGTGTCATGGGGAGGCGCACTCTACCACCAATGCAGAGCTGTTGCCCTCAACCTCGCTTCTTCATGAGCCATTCCCTTAGACTTGATTTCTCCCCACGCCTTTTTGCCTTCTCTTCCAACTTGAGTCCCTTCACTTTCTTTTCTTCCAGCTTTGCATGCCATACTGCCGCCATGATGAGATGTCAAATGCGCAAGGCAACACTCTTCCCTCATCCACCTTAGCCGGCAACGCGAACCTCTTGAAGTCTCGCCCCC